TTTGCTTTTAAATAACTTCGAATACAATGTTCACAATACGATATTGCTAAACATTCTTGTTTGCAGTTTTCACAAACTCTTATAATTCCTTGATTTAACTTTAGTTTGTTTTCGTTATAATTGTCAATTATAGTTCGTATTGCCTCTGATTTTTCCTCGTTTGTGAGAGATTCGTCAGCGTAAATTGTTTGTTGATTAAATTCATGCTGATCGTCTATGTCTGTGTTATAATCAGTTAATGCTCCTACTCTATTCACTGCTTCGTGAACTAATTCCATACGAATGGAGGCCATAATACAATGAAATAAGAAAAAATTATTCAAAAGAAAGTTTAACGAGATTATTTTGTGTTTATTTCAAATAGAATAAGATCAGATGATTGACACTGTATGGAGATCAAATAATATAATTAAATGTATGACAAGCGAATAAACACTTCACATACATGACTAATTTTATTTAGGTTAAAGTTAGACATGTAACATACCTAAGTAAATCGGTTCGGTAACATTGTTAGGAGATGCAGTTCATGCTATAAATTAAAAATTTGGTAACATACGAATGTTGATGTTCTTTTCTCAAGCATTCTCAATTTTTAATGAATGCGAAATATGAATTTTTTTTAGCAAGATAAGCTCAGATTAAACACAAAATGTTTCCTCCTTTTCTACTGCAAAAACAATAATATTTTTTTCGCATTGAAGGACTGAATGGGTCAAGTTTTTCTTTATTCATTTACCATAATCCTGATTATCTGAATAATCCTGTGAATTGTTTAAATATTTGAAAGATGAAAAGGGTTATTCTAGTAACACGAGAAATATTTAAATGTTCAGGGTCAGCTTACTTGGGAAAAAATAGATTAATCATTCAAAATATACTGATCACCATATCCTGGAGCGATAGATTATTTAAGAATCTTTCAAAATTTGGCTGTAGTTCGAATATGACGAATTTTCTTTCAGATGTCACAAAATTGTCATAAAGCCTATCTTTTGAAAAGTGATATTAAAGGGATTAAGGTTAGGGGCTCGCCGCTTAATTATGATTAATTATAAAACAATGACAAACAAAAAATGAAATTACTTCAATAAATTTGTCTTGCCAAGCAATTTATCAATCTTACTATTCTCTCTCTCTCTCTCTCGATTTAGTAATTTTATCCAACATATAAGACTAGCTAATACATTTCATATCTGTGAAATATGTCGTTACCTATAATGGAATAAGATTAATTACGATCATAATGTGTATTTTAACATGAAGAATTTAAGAATGATAGAATTTGAAAGAATTAACAGGCGACGTAATTTTTCAAAAGAGGACCCTAATTTTTGAATTTCGAACCTCTTACAGTATAGTATTATAGTTTGTCAAAAAAAAATTAGCCATATAAATAAGATAAGATAAACTTCCGATTCGAACTTTACGCGCCCAATATTCATTCATGCTATTCCAAGCCACTTATGCAGGAGATTGAAGCGATTCAGGAATCTTTTTTTTTTTTTTTTTAAAAAAAAAAAAAAACTGTTTTTTGTGATTCTGTATCTGTAACATCAATAACAAAATAAATATTGTAAAAGAGACAATGGTACTTGTTTGCTATTAGTATAAAGGAATGTAGCCGATAAAATCAAGTCATGAGATGTATGATCCGTAATGTGATTGCTCCTATATGATAATGCCAATCTGCACGACGATGAAAACCCTATAATTATCCAACCAACTGCCTCAAACTGGAAGAGAATTGTTCTAACTAACGCTTTAAATTGTATTTGATCAGTTTGTTTTCAAACTGAAGGAATCCATTTAATAAGTTAAGGATAATATGGTTTGAGTTATGGATAAGTTATAATATCGAAAAAGAAATAATTTAGTTAGTATAGAAGAATAAAATCTACCTTAATTTATAGAAACTTATTGAAAGAAATGACCATAAGAATATTCATTTCAAAATTGGGGGAAGACTCGGAATTCTATAAGCATTTATTAAGAAATGAATTTTATTAGAAAATTTTTTTTTTTAAAAAAAATAATTTAATTTACAAATATTAAAAAGAACACGTACATGCTAAAAAAGGTTCTTTATTGTAAGGATAATTATGCTACGAGATCAAAGGTAATGACCTCTTTTCGGGATCGATAAGATAGTATAATCTTCTTGGAAGGATCACGGCTATTTGACGGGATCGATAAGTAAGATAGCCTTTTTGAAAGATCAAGATCTCTTGACGGAATAAATTATTCTAAATTTTCTTCCAAGGATTACGACCACGTGCAGCGGGATCAAATTTCAAGGATCACAATCACTTTCTACGGACATCTTTTAAACACAAGAACAGATTTTCAAGGCATAAGCACGGTCAATATCTAACATACTACCATAAATAGTTTTGAATAAAACTAAAGAAAACATAAATTAAAAAAAAAAAATTTGTACAGCAACTAATACCTATTTATTTTTATTTTTAACGTCATAACTCAATCACATGACAATGTTATAAGTCACTTGTAACACAAAGGTAAATCAATTCTGTTTGACGTTTTACTAAGAACACTAAAATTTTTGATAAGATAAATCGGAATAAAAAAGGATTTTGTGATTATACATTTACAATGGAAATTACGTATACGCATATGGAGAGGGGGTGGACATTAACTAAAATCCATCAATAGATACAAAAGGATGTCTGAAATATCAGGTTCAAATTAAATAAATTAAAATATCAGACATATGGAAGAATAAGACCTTAGAAATTATATTCAATTTAAAGAAATTGCCAAACAAATTATTTCCACTTGAGATAAAGTGACATAGTGACAAGTAATACTTTGTTCAAAATTCTTACCTGAAGTAGGTTTAAAACATCGTATTTATTTATAAATTTTATTTGTAATCCAAGAAAGTATAAACAACTACAATAATTAAAGGAAATTTGGAAAATTTTACTGAAGAGTTGTGCAAAATCATTGATCTAATTAAAGAAGAAGCAGAATACGTAGAAAAGTTTTTTGTTGTCCATCAAATCAGAATTCATGTCTCAAATGTGAAGATCATTTGAAAAACTGTATACGCTTGCCCTTAATGCACAGTATATTTATCCCAAATGTTCACTTGGATGCCATCAAGCGATCATTTCGAAATTCCAAATGAGCACTTCGGATGGAACCATAAAATATTAAGCAAATAATAAGGTAAATGGTTTTATTTTGCAGTTTCTAGATTTATCGTACATAAAATTTATTTAAAATATCAAATTATATAACAATCATGGTCAAGGATATTGATTTGATGTCAATAGGGACAGGTAAGATATATCGAAACATCATCAAATAGATGGCTTAATTATTCAATCGAGAGCTCTTAATGTTTTAAAATAAAAAAAATTTTAAATAATATTTAAGATAGTGTAAAATATTTTTGTGTAACCCAATTATCTGATTTGCTGAGGGCCAAATTGTCACTCGAATTTAAGGTTAATTTAAAATAAGTTTAACGTTTATGCATAGTTGAACTCGATTTGGCTTTGATGAATTGGCGAACGTACGGTATATATATATATAAAGAAAAAAAAAGCATAGCAAAAAAATCTTCCCTTTTTCTTTAAAAAGAAAAGGTTTAATTTATTGTCTTACATAAAATATGACTCAATTTGTTATTAATCATTATTCTGATAGGAAGGTTTGTTGTTGATATATTAATCATTTGAAAAATAACTGTTCGAACTGCAATTTTTTTTTTTTTTTTTTTAATTAGAAGTACGAAAATTTTAAAACCTGTAAACTCTGACAATGTAATAATGAAATGAACAATCTTTCAGAACTTAACAGATTCGATAGTAAATTTTTTTTTTACGTGATATACTTATTCGCACATTTTAGAATAAATCACCTGGAGTGAATCCATTAGCTCTGTCGTACGCAATTTCGACTTTAAACGGATTTCGCTTTATTTCGTGGCGTATGCATCTCTTCACATATTCATTCTTCCTTTAGGATAATAAAGAAATAATCCGAGAAAGAAAAAAGCTAAAGGTTAAAAATAATTCAAAGTATTGGACGTACGTACGTACGTATAATAGGCACCTCTTCGGCAACCTTAAGGTCCAGCCTACGTTTCTGAATTTTTCAAAAAATTAGCTGATACATAATCGTATAGCCGAAGAATATTTTTTGAAACATGTAATAACATACCGTAGAATTATGCTTCAAATTAATCCATCAACTCACGATAACAAAATGAAACAGGAACGTCATTACATTGTAGAAAGACTGGATATGGCCAGAAGTAATTTACGAAACATGTATAGGGAAGGTTCGATGGTATATGAAACGTTTGATATAGAAGTTGATGCGATGACACAACGATTAAAACAAAAGCGAGGAGATGTTAAATACTTTCGAAACATGTTGAGTAAATTAATCATAAAGTTGAAAGTTTTTATTGAAGAAGTTGATAAAACTCAAGCAGCTTTTATAGACGCGAAAATTTATTTTACTGAAAACAACCAAGCTGTTAATGATATTGCTATAACTCACATAGATCTATTGGTTTTTAATGAATTGTTTGTTCATGTACACGAGGTTGTTAAAAATTTAACTGGAATGAAAAGAATGTTAATGTCATATGATGATAACCTTCTTGATCTCCTTCTCTATAAGCTTTACCAAGACCAGCCTGACATATTTGATGTTACAACGTCAGATCTTAATTATTTGAAAATTGCTGCCGAAATTTATCATGACGAATTAGCCATATATAGTAACGAGTAAATTTTGAAATTTTAAAGAATAAAAAGAAAAGTTTAAAGTTGACAGACCAATCATTTGGATTTTCATTCCCCAAAAAACAAAATGAAATATAAATCGCACTCTATATATAAAGGGATTACACATATCGAAATAAGTGTTTTGATTAAACTTGAGCATTGGTAACTTTCATTATACAGTAATTATAATTTTTCCGAATGTAGAGGCGCAGCAATACCTTTGAAATAAAAAATTTTCTGGAAATTCATTGCTGCAGGTTCGTTAATTTCATCCAATTTACTTGGATTTATTTATTTTTTTTTTTTTAATTTCAATACTGTGGAATCATCATAAGAATGAAAATGACGAGTGATAATAGCTTGATCACGTGACAAGCAATAAAAAAAAAATATATATTTTTTTTTCAATTCAAATTACCATTATATATCCATACTCACATGAAATCTAAAAGTAAATAATTAAATAAAAAGTTTCGCGTGAATGTTTTAAAAAAAAAAAATTTTTTTTTTTTGGCGATAAATTAATAAATATTATTTTATTATTACTAGAATCAAACCATTTTCCTACATTGTTGAGCGTTCATAGTCTTAATCCTTGATGACAATTATTAACACCAAAACATTGACATCATTTGAATGTAAAAAATTAATATATATATCTCTTCTTGGTTAAGGATTTCATAACTATGATCCTTCAATAAAAGTGCCCTTATGATAAATTAAAAAGATCATTCATTATAATGAGTCTTTATTACGGTGTGTTTAGTCGCAAAATAGAAAAGTTTTCGATTAAATATTTTTCAAAAAGGAGATGCGATTATAAGTTTCCATCGGAAGTTATAACCCGATTGATTGTTTTGAAATTAGCGTTGGATGATATTAAATTTACTTAATTGGTATTTCATTCATTAAATTTCTTTTCACCTAATGAGTTAAATCGCTAATAAATAAACTATTTCTATTTTTATTTATTTTTTTTTTTTTTTATTAATCATTATGTATTAATGAAAAGAAAATTACGCCTTATATTATTTAAAATTTTGGTTTATCCCAAAAAGTGCGAACTATAGAAAGGGTCTGACTGCAATTGAATATGGTTAAATTTTAGCATTGTAACACATAAAAAGCAAAGACGACTTGGGATTCTCCTTTACCGACGAAAGATAAAGACCAAAATTCGGTTCGAGTCGGATTTTTTTTTACTTCGAGTAACGCTCTAATCTGGGATTAAGTGACGTTTTTCCTGGTACAAGGGAGATTTCTTTGTTCGAAATTCTTGGTTAATCCTGTCTCACATTGAGGACAATCAAACTGTTTTACAATTGAGTTCACGCTAGCCCAACATACATTTGGGATTACACAACAGTAGTACAATAATGTCGTAATTGCTCGAGTTTTCAATTTAACTTTAAATAAATTGATTAGATAATCTGTAGATTTGGTCAGATTTAATTAGTAGTTATAGTTTAAAATTAAAGATTGGACTTATAAAATCGATTAGGTAATGCTAGTACTAAATTATGTTAACGTTAAAAATTAATGTTTAATTATGACATCCAATCTACCGACCATGCTAAAATTAGTAGTTTGTGATCACCTCCACTGCCGCGCCAAAATGATTTTTTCCGTTGAGATAACAGATAACATGTTCAAAAAAGATTTTTATTGAAACGAAAAAAAAATCCGTTATCGCGACTTGCCGAATGTTTTACTTAATCGTAGAGCCCTCTCCATTTACACACGTACCCGAACCGATAATGATCTCTCGTTGACAATCCCACCCATAAATTACCTAGTGGATCATCCACCTTTAAAACGTAATAAAAAATTTTTTCGTTGATTTGTGCGGCGGTTGGTTGGTGCGTTTATGCATCAATGATTTATCATATAGCCACGGCAAATACTTTAGGTTCCACGTTGGTAAAATTAATAATTTCCATAATAATAATCATTTTCCTTGTTTCAACCATTCAAATAGTTTGACCCCTATTAGCTAACCCCTAAATGATTTTTTTAATAATTAGTAAGAGATTATTTTTTGCATCTTGCATCCTTAGTTAAACTTTTTTTCATGTAACATAATTTTAAATGTGAAAATCAATAAAGACAAAGCATTGAAGATTGGACCAAAAAAGAGAATTGGCCATTTCACATCATTCGCAACGGGTGCATGATTGGGTGATCAAAAAAAAAAAAAATTTCAAAAAGGAACTTTTTCATATTTCGGTGGAACCTAACCATCTAAACAAATTCGAATTTTCACATAAAGATATTCCGATGCGTTTACAAAGTAAATGATAATAACATAAATGAAGAAGAAGATTTACGCGTAGATAACCCTAACTCCATCCCCACCCCCCGTCCCCATGTTTTGTAAAAAATTTCCATATTCCATTATTTTGATCGAAATTTTGGGGAAAAAATCCGAATCAAATTAAATTCCTAATTAAGGTTACTCGTTAATTTCATTTTGAAATTAAAAAAAATGAGACGGTCATACCCCACTCACATGAATTATTTATTATTGCGTCATGCAATCATGAACACAACCCTTGCCCTTCTTGTTCTTACCTTTTTCATTTCTAAACGTTTTCCCATTATTTCAGATGTTAAAAAGAGAGATACGCCTTTCTGAATTCTGTTTCCCATATGCCATAAATTGCTAGGTACGTAATTTTCATGTAAAGATTGATTCATTCGCGCATCCCAATCTAATCACCGATTATGATCAAAGAGGCTATGCTCCCTAAAAAGAAGGCAAGCACGAAAAAAATCACCCATTCAATAATGAATCTTAAAAAAAAAAGAAAAAGCAAAAAGCGCATGTGATCTTTATTCCTTTAGGAAAAATTTCCACTCTCAAGTCCGATCGGAATGATCGTCATAATATTTGGTCTTTCACCGATTAGTTTAAGTACCTTGTGAAAGTTATTATGGATTTCGAATGTCGCAATAAGGCGCAAAGCAAAACATTTGATGATTTTATTAATTGTCACGTTATCATGACATAAATTCATACATGAAATGATTTTTTAAAATAGTATTAGGTTGATGGCTAAGATCTCAAAACAAATCAAAGAACCAAGTCGTTTTGGTCATAAAATTAAAAACGCCAAGTTTAAAATAACTGGGCTAACAACAAATCCAGACCCATCTGGAACGTCACATGATTTAAGCCAAAGAGCGAAAAATGAAAATTCGTTAAACTCGTTTTGGTCAAATTGGTGGGAAAATTTTTTTGACGAAATATTTTTTGAATTCGTTTATCTGTTTTTTTTTCCCATTAGACGTAAAAACATCCTGTCAATTTCTTGTAAACTTTTTCGCTTTTTGAACAAGTTCGCTTTCAAATTTTTTTTTTTTGTCAAACAATGATGCAAGGATTAAAGTTTGAAACACCAGATTTTTACACAACAGGGAATGCACGTAATGGAAAAGGTTTTTTGATTTTTGATTCATGGATCATAAAATGGGTCAGAAAATAGATTAGCCGCGCGTACCTTACCAGTCATTCATTACACCACATGCGATTAAATGACCCATGACCATGCGCTTTCATTTGTGAAGCCAACATTGCCCCCATGTTTGTTAATGTGTTATCATTGTAAATAAAATGATCCATCTTTGGGAGATTACGGGAAATCTTTCTCTTATCATCATTATTTGGTTTTTTAAGGTTAAAAAAAATTGTAAAAGTCACGTTCATTGGTTCCCTTCCTCTTGCCAATCCGTTTTTTTACCTTGGTTTATCTGAAAACTTTTCATGTGAAGTTATCAGATATTCCGTTCTGCATCTTACAAAAATTTTTACATGCATTAGGAGCGGAAAAGCAAACAAGAACGTACATAAATAAAATGGACGCTGCGCCACATGCGCGTTCGCTTTTACGGTTTGTTTTGGATAAAATTTTTTATTTTTAATACTTTTTTTATTTTCATTTCATCGGTAAAATTATGATGAAAATGTCTATTGAAATTTTTTTTTGCGAAAATTAAAAGGTGAAAGGAAAAGTAAAGAGAAAAATATACATATGATAATTTACGCAAAAATCAAAAAAAAAAAAAAAAAAAAATCGTGCGGAAAAAAAATTAAGAAATAAACTACAAGTAAAATATGTAAAAGTAAAAAAAAAAAAAAAATATATGTATTATTAATTTCTATTTATAATTACAAAGTCGTCATCGACGAATTCTTTTTGGCCAACAAAAGTCTCGTACTGTGAATCACGTTCACGATCTAATTCTTGTAACATATTATTGGCAATATCTTTAATGATTTTCTTACGTTCTCGTATTAGGTAGAATTCGTCAGTGAATTCATTGTCTAACTGATCAAGAACTTTTAATATGGAATCTTTATAAATTAAAAATGCTTTATTATTTGCAGAAGTTGGCAACACTTTGCTTTTATTAATTAAATCAAATGTGAGGGTGCCTAATTTTAGGTTGATGGATTTTAACACCGACAGGCGATTCTGTACGGAGCGAAGCTTGATGAGGGTGGCCAAGATCTTTTGGGTTTTTCTTTTTTCTATGTTATGCTTGATGAATGAATAGATTTTGAATGCCGCTTGAAATTGCTTGATTGAAGAAGTCCTTGACTTTGAAGAATACTTTGAAGAATTCCTTGAAGATGTGAAGAACGTACAAGCGGATGAGGATGAGGATGAAGAGGAGGTGGATGATGATGATGATGATGATGAGAAACTTGGGGAATAATCGCTCATGTTTGATGAGGACATGTTGCATCGTTGAGCCGCTTTCTGTTCGTAAAATTTCCTTAGAGCGTTACATTTCTCCACCTTCTTTTGGGCATTTTGTCTCTCCGTCCTCTCCCTTCGCAAACGTTCGTTTTCCGCACAAAGCTGATGACGACGTTGTAATTCTTGTTTTAATTGAATACGTTTGATGGTCGCTTCATGAAATTGCTCCAAGTTTTTTCTCTGTTGCTCTCTTTCTTGTGAGTCAGGTATCAAGGATAACATATGATGGTGATTTCCACCACAGGTGGTAGAGGGGGGAGGTTGATTTGTAGGTACTCCATTATTGTTGAAGGAATATTTTGGGTTGTAAAAGATATTTTCTGTTTCTACGGGTGAATATGCAAACATGTTTGAATATTATTATTTTTTTTTTCTTGTTATTTTTTTTTTGTAATTTTTTTTTGGTTGCTTCTGAAAAAAAAAAAAAAAAATTCTTTTGTACAAACCCAACCCCCTTATATTCATTTTTTTTATATAAGGTTACTTTTACTAATGTAATGATTTATAGATAAATATTATAAACCGTCATACCCAAATACTAATATTTTTGTAATTGGGAAATTCAAGAAATTTCAGGTTAGACCATAACACGTTCTACATGTATAACATATTTTTTACAATAGATATATTTTTTTATAATCAGTATAAAAGGGTACGAATGTGGTAATGATCGTAAAGGGGAATTATGTCATATCGCATCTTATATTATATGTAACATAATGTAACTAAATATGTGGTGAGGTAGTAATACATAATGCATTGAGTAAACTATTTTTTGTAACTCGTACCCTTGAACAAGAAATACATGAATCCAAACGAGAATAACCGTTTCAAAAATGGGTTAATGATTTACTCTGCTCACCAAGGAGAAAAAAAAAAAAAAAAAGAAATATAATTTTGTTTTAATATTAATAATATAAGGGAAAAGGGTTTATCAATAAATGAAATTTTACATACATATAAAAAAAAATTAGCAAAAGGCAAAAAGGCAAAAAGGCACATGAGATGATAAGTTGATAACAGTAAATAAAAAAATTTAAACGCAACATTAAACTATTTAAGCACTGAACTTTCGGGCTAATCGGTATTCGGTGCATTCCTTTGTTTTCCGTCATGCAAAACATACGACAACGAAATTTTTTTTTTATAAATAAAAAAAAATATTCATGGTTGATCTGTTTGAAAATATCAAATAGATAACCCGCATAAAAAAAAAAATAAAAAGTTTTATAACATTTACAGTAGAAAAAAAATGTAGAAAAATGCAAACCTTCTTGCATGAAAACATGGCGAATTTTTTTGGGATGTGACATGTAAATCCCCATTAACAGGTAAGACACCAATTATGAATTATTAATGACGAAAAAAAAAACACAGTGTGTGAGGTAAAATCCGGATTTCTAACGAAATGGGACTGTTGTCGAACAGATCAATTGTTAAATTAAGATTGGGTATGGTTCAGCAGCAGACACAAATGATGTATTATCCTTCTTTGTAAATCTTCTAGATTAGTTCAACAGAAAAAAGACACAAAAATATAAAATATAATAAGTGGCTTATACTGGACGGATAATGGGAAGTCTCCAACCCTTCGGCTGAAGTTAAGCTAATTTCAATGGTGGAAATTTGACGGGAATATTCGGACAATACTTGATTTGAAAATCAATTCGGGTGGTAAATTTACGTCATTTCCTATGGACAATAGAATGTTTATTCAACTTGCGTTTTTGACGTATATTTTTGGAAAAATCACAATTACTTGAGGAGGTGTTTTTTTGTAGCCATTTCGTATTACCCTATTTGAATAAATCTCTTTTTTTTTTTTTACATTATTAAAAAAAGAGTAAGTTTGAATAAGAGATAAATTAATGTTCATTTCATTTTAAATATAGCTAGGTCGTCAGAATTTTTTTTTTTTTTTTTTTGAGATCTAGATTGTCAAGGATTATGAATCGACCTGCGATTGGTTTGTTCATGACAAAAAATTTCCATTGTCGGTCACAAAAAAAAAAAAATAATAATTAAACATCTCGCGAGAAGAAACAAACTCGGAAAAAAAAAAAATAACATTCGAATTATGGAAAATATTACAAAGCGTTTATTTTGGACACTTATTGGTTTAATTTCTAATTCTTGTATGCATCCATTTTGAAGAATCCTAAACAAACTCACATTGAAAATTCGTGTTAGTATGTATAACATCATCATTCACAATCGATAATCTGAGCATCAAACAAGGTCCTTCATGTAGTATTACATTGATTGAAAAATATAAATGAGATAAGCCATATTTTGACAATAAAGACGGGCCGTCCTAGTTTGAGTAGTTTGTCTCGAAAAAAAAAAAATAATAATGATAAAATAATAACAAGATGCATCAATTTCGAGATTGCATTTTTTTCTTTTTTAAAAGGCTATAATGATGTTCTTTCACAAATAATAATATAAAAAAAAAGATTACAAAAGGAAATCACTTTTCATATGACATACTGATTGAAATTATCTCATTTACTCAAAGGTTTCAAGATGTTTCATTCAAAGAAAGAAAAATAATAATAAATGGTTGCCTAGAGAAATTTATGATGATATCATTCCCTCCAAAAACGATTTACTAGCATTACTCGTTCAAATGTATTGTATTTAAAGATGCATTGATGCGCATTTGGGTGTCATGTGTTGGTTTCGGAGTTAACTTCTGAGAATAATAGACCCCAAGAGGAATTATTCTCTTTGCCTCTTAAAGTGAATGTTCATTTTTTTTTTTGCTAGTTCATTCATTCGTTTCTTTGATTCTCTAAAGGCTTTAAAAAATTTTTTCATATCAAGCATGACTTTTTTTTTGTTATGCTTATTAAGCGTAGCAAATTGGTAAAATTAAGAATGTGGGAATACTTTCAAAAATTTGTTTACTAAAAAAGGCAATGAAGCGAAAGGTGAATTGTTATTGTTTCCAAAATTTACAAGGATTTTAATTTACTATATAAATAACGCATCGTGTAATCAAATTTAATTAATCGAGTATCAAATTTAAAAAAGGAATGTTAGTAATCGAAAAAATCCTTGTCAATGATAACTCGTTTTGTATAGATTAAAAAAATCAAGTCCATGACGTAATAAAGAAAGGATTTCACACGACAACATAAATGAAATTAGTATGAGGACAAGAGAATGCACATGCATGCATGGAATCAGAGGCTTTAATGTTTTATTTCTTTGTTTTAATATCAAAGGTGGATGGATGTTAGGACCACCAAAGAAAATGTCGGACAAGGGATGACCCCCATTCTCATTCGTCAACGATTTTGTCCATCTTGGGATCATTCGAAGAGGGGGTGTTTCAACCATCAATAATTGCAATTTAAAAGATCAAAAGCTCATTGGATTCGTCTCATCGAGGCAAAACCATTTTTGTTGAGATATCATGAGGATTGGAATGAAATTGTCCAAACCAACCTTTATCGGTCTTATTCAAAGCATTTATTGGTAACACGTGTTTGAAAATTGAAAAAGGTCATGATTTAACGTTAGTGTTGTTCGGAGTTTTAAAAGTAAATCCGGATATCGATAAAAAGAATCCGAAGTATCTGGATAATCAAAAAAAAATGACAATCTTTTAAAGGTTACTAACCTTTCATATGATTATATTAACGATTTCATTATCCGGCGTATACGGAAAACATCAATCAAACCTGCCTTTTTTTTTTTTTTTTTTTCTAAACCTGAAAAAAAAAATATTTTACTAGAGAAAAATTATATTAATTCGGCCTAAATCATTCTACTCTGTAAGATGACAAACATAAACAATGAGGTCATGGAACAGGTTTGTGAAACAATCATCATTCGCGAAAATATTGAATCTGCTGAATTTTTTTTACCAATCAAACCGTTTCTCTTTTTTTTTAAAAAAAAAATCACGTTTTAACAATTGCCAATAATATTTTACATTCTACCGATATAAAAAAAGGGAACAAACATAAGAATATTAATTAAAAATATGGTTACGATCATATTGTATTCGAAATGACAATGTCGTGTGAAACGTTTGCTCCACATAATAGAAAATCAGAAAATCAGATGATTCGTCAGTTATTCCTTATGGAAAGGATATGCAACTTGTAAAGAAAAGTTTAAAAAATAATTTTTAACAATATTAATAAAAAATGAACCTCCATGATTCACTGTAAATAATAATAATTATGTATAATAATAATCATTAAAAAAATTTCTTCATATGCCTTTTTGAAAGTCGAAATTAATTTTGCCTATTTTGGTCAACATATAAAACAAATAAAAATAGGAAAATTGAGGTAAATTATTAGGGATAATGACCATTTTAAAAGGTTGTGGATTTATTAATTGTAATCATATTGCTCCCTTTTTTACATTGATTTTATTGATTACTTTAAAAATAGGGGTGTTAAAGATAAGGCTTTATACATTGTTCAAAATATCAATTTTTAATTGATACACCAACTATTGTTTTATGAATAAAGTTGAATTTCGATTAAAGTAAATATATCCTTGATCCATGATTTATTCATAAACAATGTTTAACTTCTTTTTTTTTAATAAAATAAAAAAAAAAATAACTACTTTGATCACATTGAAACTAAAAAAAGGTGGTTAGTCTTTTTTCGAATCCATAATACCTTCCCATCAAGAACTGTAAGAGCACGACTCGATTGGCGGTATTATTTACATGAGCGCATGGGTTCTCTAACGATGATCGTGGCCTCGTTCCGGAAATAGTACCCTTATAGGTTTACCGTGGGCTAAATAATTATTTATTGGTTATATTAAGACGTTTAATAACGTGCAAAAAAGGATGATTTTGAACGTATTTCAATTTCTAAAAAAAATACAAAAACACAAAAATATGGTTATGATCTCATTTAATAATTACTTATATAATTCTTGATATTCTTACGTTATATTGATAATGGATGTTAGTCACACTGACGCACGGGGACTCAAGCCTGGTATCGGGATTCCAATTCAAGTTAGTATAGATGGCATGTTACATCATCGCATCACAGGTTTTCGGTCAATCATTGCATCACCAGTTTTCAGTCGCGAATATTTCACACGTATGTTATTGTTTTATTTTTTTTTGGCAGTTTGTTAATACAAAAACTTAAAAAATTGGAAAAATAAATAAAATAAATCATTTGTATAATGATAGTTAATAAGCCATTTTGGCACATGTTTATCATTATTAAATTATTTTCTTATTTTTAGCATGGGTATCATCATTTTTCATACAAGGTGACTTTGATTCAAATCTTTTTTGATTTTTTTTTTCCAAATTTTCTTTTTTGTTACGTAATTTTTGAAGTTTAGGACAACAAACAATCTTTTTTCCTCGTCATAATACTTGATTTTAAACACAATTTAAAAAATTCATCAAATGTATGTACAGCCACATCCGGGTCGGCTCAGTGTGGCTTGTATCACAGACCAATCGATCACAATATTTTTAGCCCTGCTGTGGCAAATGTACGTGCTGTGAAACCACCAAACCGATAAACGAGTATTCTTTGTTATGTTTACAAAATAAAAAATGATTTTTATTTGAAATACGAGATTAAATAAAAAGTTTTTTTTTTGAAAATAAATTTATTTGTTAAAGATTTATTTATGCTTTTGATTTATCACGCCATAAAAATTACAACCACGTGTAATTACTAAAACGTCAAAGTTTTTATTTCCAAGGATAAAGAATTTATGATTGGTGTTATTAGAATGCGACGAACGAATCATCGTTGTTCTTGGAATTTCTATCAACTATCAACTAACAATATCTCATGAACTAACAATTAAATACATATTTACATATATCAATGAGAAGAACTAAAATTACATTTGACGATGTGTCACATGGCAAGGGATCAAAGGAGAGGATTTCTTTTACTTTTTATCTGACAAAAAAGATAAGTCATCGGTAAGATTAGATACAGTGTTTGTACTTTATCTACATATCACAAAATACGTTTTATTATTTGGATTTCAGAAAAAAAAATATTTACTCGAGACAGCTTTTGCGGTACAAACGTAATCTAACACAGCATATTTCAAAATTCTCAACTCTGTAGTTCTTCATAAATAAAGTCACATACATTTATTTACCATATACATGACATGAAATGCTTTTCAAAATCACATTTCTTTGTCGTTTATAAATTCATCTTAATCATTTTGAAAATAAAGAATATGATCATTTATTGTTAAGTATTAAAAGATAAAGAGATATTTCTAAAAGTCGCTTGTGTAACAATCGATAAATTCACTTCACCTCTGGATGTTATATTTTGAAAACTCTGCAGGATTTTTTTTTCATAATCTGCATCAGGTACTGGTGTGATGATCCGCACAGAAAACTGCAAAATGATGCAGTTGTGAGAGCCGGGAATCGTATTGGAAGAGCAGCTTTGTTTTGTCTAATTTGGTTATCTTGTACACATTATTATTATCATCATTATAATTATTTTAAAATTCGCTCATTCGTTACTAATTTATAAACAAAACAGAACAGCAACCATACAAGGAATTTAAGAAAGAAATATTATTTTAGTAATTCAATATCAATATACTTCTTCAGCGATTAAAAAAATTATAATTTTATTTGTTAATTCTGGTTATATAAAGTAATGTGCACGCATATCTCATTAACCATTAACGCACAACTAATTTAAACTTTATGCACATTGACGTTCTTTATTCCAAAGGTCACATAATTCTTGATCGTGTAGATAATCTACTAATTTATCAAGCAATAATTTTTTTATTTTTATAATTTGTTATTGGTTAGTTATACTAAATGACGAATTTTTATTTGATATAAATCTGAAAAATAATCTAGTGATTTTTATCGTGCTTATTTTTGGTATCATCGCGTTTTGTTTGCCAACCAAAATTCAAACCAATCTAAAACTTTCGAATTTGCAAATTTAATTAATTTAGTCTACCTGTACTTATGAATCATGATACATACATATAAAAAGGTTGCTGTTGGTGTAAGTAGCAATTAAATTCTTGGAACTTTTATTAATAAAAAGCTACGAGTGATTAATTAATGGTTATAATTGGTCACTATATATTATTATAACGTATTAAAAAAACTCTTAGTCACGAGTCAGGTGATTTATTGCGGTCATACCTGAATTTATATCTCCTTTGAAATGAATGTTTGAAATTAAATTTTCGAAAATTTAAGCCGGACAAGCTTGATCCTCGGTTCTCATAATATTAAAATTTGACCTGCCTTTTATTTTTATCGCGTGTAAATTGCAAATTTATATGTAAAATAAAAAGATTTTACAAACTCTTCGCATGCATTTAAATAGTGCATTATTTGTTTTATTTGCGTCGAATGATGATGAACTAGAAGATATCTTAAATCGATTCATAGATGATGCCATTATAAAAAGGTGTTGAAAAACAAATAAGAAAAGCGTAGTAAAACACCCCTTATTATTGTGTTTAATATTTTTTTGATAATACTTATGCTTCAAAAGTTTCAAAAAAAAAAAAGCTGACCTGGCAATCACGAGAACAAAATCGTCGGGTTGCCTCCCTCGTTAACGAATATTGCGTATTGGAGGTCAAATTATTTCATTTTGAGTTAATAACCTAGGTGGTGTTTCATGTCCAAAGTCACCTTATGCCAAGAAAGAGAAAAACGATGTCAATATTTATTATTTGTTGTTGATGTATGAATTTTCAAAATTTTTTTCTCATCTTCTTTTTCTATTGGATGATTATAAAACATCTGATTCATTAAAATGCGATAAACCCGATAAAACAAATCAACTGCACTTTGTGTCTTGCTACTTTTACCAATCGCATTAATCGGTACGTATTAATAACCAGTAACCAAATTTCATCATCGTCCTGCGCCTCAAAATAAAAATGAAATTCTATTTCATTGCATTATGGCTTATATTCGTAAATGTGCATTTTTTAGAGAGGTGCATAAATGGTTCACAATATTTACATAAAGGACATTAATTCAAAATCACTCAATCTAAGGAGGCGATCCTTGGCAAATGTTGTTTGAAATTAACATTTTTTTCAAAACGCGACCCAAACATGATGACGCATCAAGAAATAATTAGGTTAATAATTCGGTCATCTTGATCGATCGATACTTAAAAGATATTTTACTTTAATGTAAACAACATTTTGACGCAGATAGTAAAAACCCAAAATGAATTATCAGTTATTGATGATAATTAATACTTTAAAATAAACTCAAAATTTATCATTCTATTACAGGCTAAATTATAACTTACATTTTATTAAAATAATTATTTTTCAATTTTTTCAAATTTTTTGAAAACTTTATAATCTATATTTTTTAAAGATGTTATAACTGAAATAATATTTGTCTTAAATTAGAATTTAAAGGTATCTAAAATTGTGATTCTACTTTTAGACATCCTTTTTTGATATCTGATTCCAATTTTAATTATAATCATATTGGACAATTTCTGTGTAACTAATTAGATTCTAATTTCAAATATAAAACTGTCTGAAATTAGATGTCTGAACTTAAACTTTAAATAGAATCTGAATTTCAAATTTTAAGATATCTAAAATTAAACTTCAGGTAGAATCTGAATTTCAGAAATAAAACCATTAGAAATTGAAATATCTGAAATTAAAATTTAAATCAAATCTGAATTTAAGATAAAAGTCTGTTTGAAATTAAGATATTTGAAATTGAATTTTAAATTAAACTAAATTTCAGATACAAAGACCATTTAAAATTAAGATATTTGAAGTTAAACTTTAGATAAAATCTGAATTTAAGTACAAGATTATTTAAAATTAAAATATTTGAAATTGAATATTTGAATTTCATTAAAATTGAACTTTAATAATTAAAATAATTTAATAAAATAAAATATATTAATTAAAATAACTAAAATTACTAAATTATTAAAAGATTTTTAGATTTTATTTAAAATCCAATTTTAGATATTTTAATTTTAAATAGGATTCATTTAAAATTCAATTTAAATGTTTCAATTTTAGATGACTGTATTCTAAAATTCAAATTCTATTAGTTATTTAGATTATTCACTTAATAAAGTGAATTACAAAAGAAATGCAAATATAATTAATTATCTTTAAAAAGCTATACTTATCAACTATAAATGCAAATCTCATAATCTTATTCTCCTTTAAAATTAATCTACATTAAAATTATTTATATAATTAAGTTAGAAAACTTTTAAATAAACTAACTACCTTATAACTAATATAAGTAAAATACTAATCATTCAGTATATATGCTAATTTATAAATGTTTGATTATTTAAATTAATTAGTTATTAATAAGCATATATTACAAATCAGAAATCAATTAGTTATTTATCCAATTAATATAAAATTATTTGCAAATTATTATCTATTTATTATTTATATTAAAATAATATTATATAAATAAAAATGTTTATTATTAGGAATAACAGTCATATATATAATAGGTTTCTTTACTCTTATTATAAAATTACTGCTAATATATTATGAATAAGAATTATACTATTTCTACTAATTTTATAAAAATTATTTTTTCAAGTTTAATATTATAGTTACAATTATCATTATTTTTAATTTGATAATAAAATCTAGTTTTTTAATAAGCTATTAATAAAAACTAATAAAAGCTAAATAATAAATTTTAGTCCTATTTGAAAAATCAATTTTATATTTAAAGTAAAATTGAATCTGATCAGAAAATATTTTTATAATACTATTATTCTGAATAAATTTTGCAAGAATTTGTAAATTCTTTATAAATCATGATACTAAATACTTTTATACTAATACAAATATGGTCAAATTGATTTATATTAAGCATAATAATAGTTAATAATCAATTTTTTCATTTTAAATACTTTATTTTTAATTTAATAAGCAACTGATATAAATATCGCACTAGTTAAAATAGTCCATTTCAGTTAAAATTCGACTGTCTGATTTTAGGTCAAATTATGGCCTAAAGCTGATCAATTTCCTTTATGACGATTGGTGTAAAATGGCTACTACTTACCTATCAATTATACCAAGCAAATCATCACATGATCAAACAAAATTCAACCAAGTTTTAATTATCAATCATACCAAGCAAATCATCACATGATCGAACAAAATTCAACCAAGTTTTAATTATAATGAATCATCTCAATAAATTACTGTATTAGATTAATTAGCTTTATTTTTAATTTAATTAAATTCACTCAATTAAAACAATAATATTTATCGAAATTAATAATAAATTTTGTAA